GGCTCGGCCTAGCCCAGCCCGCAGCGGCGGTGGCCGGGTGTGCGGGCGGCGGTACTCGTAGCGGACTCCTGAGCGCCATCCGCCGCTGCCGAGTTTGTCACCCTGGCCCGGTGCCTTTGCCCGGCGCTGCCAACCCTCGCCCGCCGCTATGGCCCTGGTGCGGGACGCCGAGCCGGCCTCGGGGCCCTCCCGCTGGCTGCCCACGCACGTCCAAGTGACAGTGCTTCGAGCCCGAGGACTGCGGGGCAAGAGCTCGGGCGTCGGCAGCACCAGTGACGCCTACACCGTGATCCAGGTGGGCCGCGAGAAGTACAGCACGTCGGTGGTGGAGAAGACGCAGGGCTGCCCCGAGTGGCGCGAGGAGTGCTCCTTCGAGCTGCCTCCCGGCGCCCTGGATGGCCTGCTGCGGGCGCAGGAGGCCGACGCGGGCCCGGTGCCCTGGGCTGCGGGCTCAGCCGCCGCCTGCCAGCTGGTGCTCACCACTATGCACCGCTCTCTCATCGGCGTCGACAAGTTTCTGGGCCAGGCCACCGTGCCGCTGGACGAGGTCTTCGGCGCAGGCCGTGCCCAGCACACACAGTAAGTTGGGGTGCGGGGTCTCAGGAGCGGTTGAAGGTTCCCCTGGGTGGGGACGATGGGAATCAGGACCAAGAACTTCGGTCTTGACGGCGAGTCCCTTGTCTCGTGCTCAAGGCTGCAAACCGACACACAGAAGTTGGTTCTTAGCCTTTTGGGGTCCTACTAGATCCACCTAGCTTGGGCTGTGGAGGGTCCCTGGGGAATTTGAGTGGTAACCGAACTTTAGGAGTAGACTGTCAAGGAAAGTTAGTAGAGGGGCTCTGAGGCTTTGGGGCTATAGGAAATTTAGGATCTTCAGGCTTGTCTCCCTTCCTCGAAGGGGAAGGAACCTGAGGCTCTGCTCTGAACCCCAGCCCGTGAGGGAGTGAAGAGGTTGCCTTGTTCTGTGGGGTAAGGAAAGTGAGGCCACCCCACCAAGCCTGGAGGCTGTGCCAGACAGTTGCCTATTCTGTGATGTGCTCCTCCTTCTAGAGCAGCTAACCCTTTCTCCCCTTCACCCTGATTTTGTGTCTGGGATCCCTAGTGTGAAGATAGGAGGATCTTTTTAAGTAAAGGAAGGTAAGACTTGGGTCAGGCTTAGAGTGACCTGTCTGCCCTCTCCAGGTGGAAACAGGTTAGTTCACAGCAATAGATCATCTCCTGGTCACTTCCCTCAAGAAGAGCCAGCGATTAAAAAAAAAAAAAAAAAAAAATCATTTATTTTGGCAGCATTTAACATTCCCTGTGTTAAATCATGGCTTCAGACTTGAAGCACCATTTCCTGCTTGGGGCTCGGGTGGGATCTGGAAGCGTCACCAGGCCTGAACACCTGCTGTGGGTCATGCAAGTGGTTAACTTGGGAGTGGGGGGGGGAGCAGGGGTGTGCCCTAGGTGGGGAAGGGTGCCCCAAGTCCTAGTTGGGGGAATGGTACCCACTGAATAAATCTAGGAAGGCTTGCTGGAGGAGACGGATGAGCCTTGAAGCTGGTGTGGGTGAGCATAGAAAAGCAGGCTTTGGGTAGAAAAGGGTCTGACCTTGAATGTTTTTCTTAAGGAAGGATCTTCCTGGCTGGCTCCCTGCGGCCTGAGATGGGAAGTGGGGTAGTGCAAGGGCAGGTTCCAGGCAGGGCTGTGACCTGGCTCCACTTGCCCCCTCCCCTGGCCTTCTCCCCACCTTCCCTCATGACTTGCTGTTTGGCTGCTGGGTGTGGGATCCTGTGGTGCTGCTTGGCCCTTGTTTTGTTTTTTTCCTCCCAGTTTCTGTCCTCTCCCTCCTTCCTGGCCCAGAGAACCCAAGGAGGCAGTTGTGGACTGGAATGCTCTGCCCTGGGTCTCTCAACCCTTGCTTTTTCAGAAGTGCCTGTCCCCATGTCACTCTACCCGTTCCCCGTGTTCTTCACCCTCCACTGGGAGCTCTTCTTTCTCAATTGGTAGATGATGTATCTGGTATGTGTTCTGGTGAGAGAAGGGGGACTGAAAGAGACAGAAAAAAAAAAAAATCTCTAGCTTACAGGGAGGAGCTTCTTTGATTTTTCTTTTTTTTTTTCCTGAGTTTTTGGCCTCCAGCTCTTTCTTCCCTGAGCTGACCCAGCCTGCAGATTCAGGTGGGTCTGTTTGCAGCCAAGAAAAGTGCATCTGGGAGAATTTGACATGCACAACCCCTTGATGTGAATGAGAGCCTTAATTTACTTTATAGAAGTCATCTTTTCCGCTGGATTGCTCCACACCCACCTGGCTGCCTTTCCTCTGATGCATTGGCCAGGGTTATTTATAGAGCCTGGAGGGGGCAGCAGTAGGGTGGAACACCTAGTGGGGTGGGCAGAGGACAAGTCCTGAAATTGGGCTGCCACTCTAGCTCACTAGACTAACAGCATGTCACCCCTGCTCTGGTCCCCCTCCTTGGGCTCTAGTGACCACTGCTGGTGGTATTTCTTGAGGCACTTTGGCATAGACTGCCTGTTGTCTAGTCAGGATGGAGCTTCATGGAAAGTCCAGGATGTACCTTCTTCAGCTTTGGAAAATGTTGGGAAACAGTAGTATTCATGTTTACCTCCGGGATCCAGCTTTGCTGGCCTCAGCAAGGGCCTGTGGTGATCCTCTGTCACCCAGTGGCCCTGCGTTACAGAGAGAACTGGACTGAGAAGAGCAGGTTCCTGACTAAGAGACTGACTGGAGTTGTGTAAGAACAGACCAGAGTCTTAAACCTCCTACCTTATGTCAACTTCAGGAAACTCTTGGAGCCTCAGTTTTTTCATCTGTAAAATAGGGGATAATTTATACCTTCTTCCCAGGGGTGATGTTAGAGATGAAATGAGAATGTAGGTGAAGCCCATAGTGCAGGCCCTGATATGGTAGAGGGCAGGTGAACAGCAGTGATGGTGGAGGGAGGTTTTGGGCACATGGTCAGACAGTGCTAGTCTGGAAGATATCCCATGCTATGGAAAAGCTCCTCCTTATGTGATAGGGGATATAGTCAAAAACCTAGAGCTTGGGAAACCCTAGGGATGTGGGAGGTGACAGGAGTATGGGAGTTCTCAACCAAAGGAGCTCCCCCTTCACAGCCTCTGTCATTCTCTGCTGCTAGAGACTTGACAGCCAGGGCTGGCTTGGGAAGCAGGTGTGGTCCCGAAGCCAGGCTCAGATTTGGCTGTGGCTCGACAGCTCTCCTTCCTGGCAGCCTTGCCTCGGTCTGCTACTGTCCTGGGGGAAAGCAGGATAACACAGTACTGGAAAATCTGGTGATAATGTTTTATTCCCAGTGTTGTCTTACTAGTAGGCAGGCTACATAACCTGTTTTCTCATTTCTGAAAAGGTCATGCGCCATAGTTATTGTGAGTTGCACAGATTGACTGAGATACCATCTGTAAAAGCCCTAGTATAGTTCCAGACACAGATGCTTTCAAAGTGGTAATGCTGGGTTACGCTGGTGCCTTGCCTCATGTGCTGGTGGTGGCTGAGGTTCTAAGTGTTCCAGTGGGCCCTGAAGATCCTTAGCAGGTGGCACTCTGAGGTGAGGGATTTCACTAGAAGGTTGCAAACAATAAGGGGAAATTCTCAAGACAGAATTTAATGTGGTACACGAGGGCACTTGGTAAGACCCTCTTCCCCTCAGTGGACCCATACATGGGTGTTCATGGTTCTAATTAGTCTGAAAATCCTGAGTTGCCTCTTTGTAATTCTTTTCTAGCTCTTCCTAGCAAAATTATTTCCGGCATTCTCCAGTGGGCGCCTGTCTGGCTCCTGAGACACATGGGCTACTCTCTGTGGGGTCAGTGGGTCATTTGGACCCTTTTGGCTGTTATGGTATTGTTATGGTGGGTTGTAGCCCCAGGCAAATGTCCCTGAACTTGTGTCACACAGGCCTGGGATGGAAGAAGCAGCAAAGGTTTTGTAGTGGGAAGCTAGGGAATCTGCCATTTGGGTAGGGAAGCTCTGCTCTTGGCCTTCTGGGAGGGCTGGTCTGTGAGTGTTTTGGGGGAAGAAGGGAAGTAATCTTTCTATGTAGATCCCTACATCTGCCTTTTCCCTTAGCCTGGTGAGGTGTAAAGTACTCAGCTTGTAAAGCCTGGAGTACAGAGGCCTATTAGATCAGAAGCTAGAGGCTGTTGCCTTGGAAATGCTGAAGCTGTGGCTTCCATTTGGGTTGGGACCAGTTGCCTTTTTTCCATCACAGAGAACAAAATTTTTGTGACCATAGATAGGCTAATTGTGTTCCTCCAGAGGCACTGACAGCCCCTGCCCCAGTCTGTGCCTTTAGGGGCTTTTTTTTTGGGGGGGGCGAGGGAAGCTCAGGGAGGACAGAGATTTAGAATTAGTACTTCTGCCTGGCTAGTAAGAACATTCTGAGACCTCTTTAAAGAGTTGTTTTGGGGGTCCTGGGAAGCACCCAAGGCAAATGCAGTTTATTAGCCAAAGGGTGGGAGGGTCTTTAGAGGGTTATTCCCTAAACCTCCAGGGGACATGCATGTAACTGTGGTGGGCAGATGGTACTCAACCCCCCAGCCCTTTGTCATTGGTGCTGAGGTGTGACCCTGCTCTTTAGACACTCTGGGTTTGGCTCCTGCTCCAACCTGTGGCCTGGAGTCCAGGCCTCTGAGGCTGCTGAGGAAGGGTGTGACTGCCTCAGGAACCAGGCCATAAGGACACACAGGTTTCATCTCCTGGTCCTGGGGCTGATTTTATTTGGGATTGCTGGAGTGGCAGTGTCTGGGGAAGTGGGGTGGAGTAGGAAGTGCGACTCTTCAGTCAGCCTGAGCAGCTCCTCCTCATGGAATAGTGGCTTCCTCATCCCTCTACATCTGGCCCTGGCCCTGAGCCCTGGGCCTGTGTCAGCCCTATCTCAGCGATGCATCCCTCTCCCTGTGGGCAGCTGGGCCTGAGGTGTACCTAAGCAGAGCTCTATCCCTGGTAACCTTGAGCGCTGTCCTTTGCTTCTGACAGCAGCTGCCCACCCATCTTGTTATTGCTGGTGCTATGACTCGCTGCTGCTAAAGCTGTGGTCTGGCTTTGTCCAGATGTTTCCCTTGCCCCTCCCACCCTGAGCTGGAACAGATGATTAACACATTAGAAGCTGTGGTTGCTCTGTGGAAATCAGTCCACAGCTTTTTTTTTTTTTTTTTCCCTGTGTAGAATGCATATCCCTTCTCTGGCACCAAGTGATAAAAATGTGTCCCCAGCATGAGTCCTCTGTGCTCCCAGCAGTCCTATGGGGGAGTCTGGTGACCTTGCTCTTTCTGAGCCAGGCTGTGGTTGTTTCTTCCTTCAGGAAGGAGAGGGGATTTGGCAGGGTACCTGGAGACCTCCACCATGGGGCTGGGCCAGCCAGCAGTGAGCAGGGTATCTGAGTGGGGAAGCCACAGAGGTGGGGGAGGTTATCCAGGCCATCTTGACCTTCCAGTTCAGCTAGGAGGGGAAGCACAGCCCTTGCTCAGGGAATTCCAGGTCACAGTGAGAAGACAGCTTTGCGTGTGGAAACTGAGGCTGGGGAAGGGAGAGGAGAGGAGGGCTGAGCTGCACAGCGG